TCTACTAGAAACTAGAGGAACCTCTGGTACCATTGTCCTGCCACAGTGTCTAACTTGACATTGAAAACACTCCTAGGTGCCACTTTGTAGCCACTGAATAGGCCTATAAAATAGCTCGTAATACCTGTGAAGAACGTACTTTGTAGAGTACTCACCTATAGGAGACTAAAAGGGCAACAGTTGCCCCAAACCTAGGTTGAGAGTAGGGTTTTCAGCAGCTCTGCCCTTTGAATGGGGAAGCTGAGCCCTTCTACATTGTCTATTCTTAGTCTGGAAGCTTCGATGAAACATAGTCACTTTGGGTGACTCTGCTAGCATTTGAAATACCAGTGACATAGCTTCCCCCATCACAGCAACACACAAGCCACCTCAGTGTAACAAACTGGCAGACAAGCAGCTAAAACTAGGCCAAGGGCCAACTGGAAGAGATCATCAATTGCTCATATGATAAAGCTGAAGAAAATTAAACAAGTCAGCAAGAGCCAATATATGCTCTAGAGCCTATGCCATCTCAAGAGTGGATTTGATGTACACTGATGACAGAAGATCTGATGAGTTGTGGGAGCACATTTAGCCCATCATTGATGAAGAAGCCAAAAGGTCACTAAAAAGACAGGGAAGAAAGGATCAAAGTGAATGTCAGACCAGACTCTGAAACTTGCTTTTAGTCATAGAGTAGCTAAAGCGAGTAGAAAAAAGGGTGAAGTCAAAGAACTAAATAGAAAATTTCAAAGGGCATCAAAGGGAAGACAAAGCCAAATACAATGAGATGGGTAAAGACCTAGAATTGGAAAACGGAAAGGGGACCCACCGAGCATATCGTAAAGTGAAAGAACTCCAGAAAGTCGAGCTCGAGTTGCAGTCCGGAAAGAGTCGATGGGCAAATACTGAATGATGCAGGAAGCATCAGAAGAAGAGGGATATGACTGAACTATTGAATTGTATGATTTTGCATTGTGTGCCAATAAAACTTTTTTCTTAATAGAAAGTATTCAACGTCACTATACCAAAAACACCTAGTCGACAGCCCACCATTTCAGGAGGTAGCAGTTGAGCAAGCACCAACGGTGCTGAAGGAAGAAGTTTAAGCTGCACTGAAGGCATTAGCCACAAACAAGGCTCCAAGAATTGATGGAATATGAACTGAAATGTTTCCATAAGTTTATGAAGCACTGGAAGCACTCACTCATCTATGCCAGGAAATATGGAAGACAGTTACTTGGTCAATTGACTAGAAAAGATCCGTATTTGCACCCATTCCAAAGAAAGGTGGCCTAAGAGAATGCTCAAATCATAAAACTATCATTAATATCATATTCATGTAAAATTTTGTTGAAGATCATGGAATAATTATTGCAGCACTGCGTTCACAGGAAACTGCTGGAAGTTCAGGCCAGATTCAGAAGGGACTTGGAACAAAAGATATTATTGCTAATGTCAGATGAATTTTTGTTCTAAGTAGAGAATACAAAAATGTTGTTTACTTGTGTTTTATTGACTATGCAAAGGCATTTGACTGTGTGGATCATAATAGACTATGGATAACCTTGAATATAATGAGAATTTCAGAACACTTCATTGTATTCAAGAGGTACTTGGACTACTGTAAAGATTTATAGTTTAAGAGCAGTTGTGTAAACAGAAAGAAGAATACTACATGGTTTAAAATCAGGAAATAAATAATTTGAGAAGCTGGATTATATGAAGAATCAGATATCAGAATTAGAGGAAAGTCTATTAACAGGAAGGCTTATTAACAATCTGTGATATGCAGATGGCACACAATCTTCCTTGCTGAACGTGAGGAGGACTTGATGCTGATGAGGATCAAAGATTGCAGCTATCAGTATGAATTACGACTCAGTGTAAAGAAGACCAAAAGCGCCAGGAAAACAGATGTAATGTCATGTAATGTCAGCAGTCATTACTTCCTGGTGTTATTTACCTGATCCCAATTTCCTAGCTAATCCCACAGTGTGTGCAATGAATAATGCACTGTGTGACATGTACCCTGTAAAACGTCTTCTATACAGTAGTTATTGGTATGTACATCACCTAATAAGATCATTTGTATTTTATTCTTGTCCCTCACCCCCATCCCGCAATGTTTTATCCAATATAAAGCAGGAAGAAGCATTTGGGGGTGGGATGTTCAATGTGAGCAACTTTTTTCTTCTTGATTTTAACAGTCTGATTGACAAATAATTCACATATAATGCGTCTTAATTTTTAAGTACATTAACGAGAGTTGTGCATTAAAAGAAAAAAAAAAAGACCAAAAGCCTCTCAACTGGATCAGTAGGTAACATGGTCAGTGGAGAAAAGGCTGACGTTGCCCAGGATTTTGTCAGCCGTGGCTCCATCAGCAATGCTCATGGAAGCAATAGTGAAGAGATCAAAAGGCATGTTGCATTAGGTAGATCTGCTGCACAAGGCCTTTTTAGATATTGAAAAGCCATTCTCTGATGTTACCTTGAGGACCAAGGTGCTCCTGACCCAAGCTGTGGTATTTTCCGTTGCCTCATATGCACGTGAGAGTTGGACATTGAATAAGGGAGACCAAAGAAGAATCAATGCATTTGAATTGTGGTGTTGGCGAAGAATATTGAAAGTGCCATGAACGGCTGAAAGGGCAAATCAATCTGTCCTGGACAAAGTACAACCAGAGTGCTCCTTAGAGGCAAAGATGGCAAGATTTCATCTCTCGTTACCTTGGCCATGTTGTCAGGAGAGACCAGTGTGGAGAAGGACATCATGCTTGGTAAAGTGGAGGGACAGCCCAAAAGAGAAGCCCTCAAGGAGATGGATTGACATGGTGGCTGCAACAGTTGCCTCAGGCACAGGAACAACTGTAAAGACGGTTCAAGACAGCGCAGTGTTTCGTTTTGTTGTGCACACGCAGCTATTTGTTGTAACGACTCGATGCCACATATCAACAAGGTTGAGAAGGCAGAGAGGGAAAAGGAATCTAGATGAATGGAAATGGGGAAGCCAGGGAGGAAATAGGGAGAATATTGATAAATTGCAAAGACAACAACCAATATCGTGGAACAATTTATATGAATTATTGATTGAATTATTGAATTCTCCCTATGCACTTTAACCTAAAGTACAATGAGGTATTCAGATGTATGTGTGTGTGTATGTTTGTAGAGGTGCTTAAACCTAATTAAAATCGGGTGGGAACATGACCTTAAATTTCATGTTAGCTAGTATCTTGGGTAAGAAACTAAAATGGTTCAAAGTATTTTGTTGTTGTTTTGTTTTAAATGGAAATGAGATGCAACTTTAATTTATTAAGTCGCCACGAGTTCTCCAATCTACAAAGTAGTTAAATTCAGGAGCCTTTGTAAACATTGTTTAAGTAGGCCTTTAAGGTAGTATTTTTCTAAATTCAGGTCTTGAATAGCTTACAAATATATTTTTTAATGTTGAAAATAGCAAAGTAGTTTATGCACAGTGGTTCAGTGTTCAGTTGTTAACCTAAAGATTATTGGTTCTAAGTCATCATCCTCTCTCTGGGAGAAAGATGTGGCAGTCTGCTCCCATAAATCTTATAACCTTGAGAATTGTCTGGGACTGTACGTTCACTAGGATTTGGGATCTCATTGGTGGCAAAAGCAGTTTCTGAGATTATGTGCATATGAGATTTTTAAGGAGTTGGCTAGCACCTTCCCTTTCTGGATGCTGTTGATTTGCCTTGGATATTTTAAGCTAGAAATTTGCTTTTGTTTAAAAAATTAAATACCGTATATACTCGTGTGTAAGCCAAGTTTTTCAGCACATTTTTTTGAATCATTTTATTTGGGGCTCATACAACTCTTATCACAATCCATACATCCATCTATTGTGTCAAGCACACCTGTACATTCGTTGCCATCAACAATCTCAAAACATTTGCTTTCTACTTGAGCCCTTGGTATCAGCTCCTCATTTTTCCCCCTCTTTCCCCACTCCCCCCACCCTCATGAACCCTTGGTAATTTATAAATTATTATTTTGCCATATCTTACACTGTCTGACGTCTCCCTTCACCCACTTTTCTGTTGTCCATCCTTGTAATCAGTTCCCCCTTTCTTACCCTACTTTCCATCCACCCTCCCAGTAT